AATACTTTGATTCCCATGACTCCTCAAGAAGTCTACAACGATCAGAAACACACCTTGAGGTCAGCCAAACATTTAAACTTCTTTGCTAAGGCTGGACAGGTTAAGAGAGCTTTGTACTCCGAAACACCTATGCTGTTATTTGTTTATAAGGAAACATTAACCACCATGGCTGATCTTACACCAGTGTATCCGAGTGAAATGCAAGCTCTTTTGCAGGATTATGAAGACGTCTTTCCAGAAGAGACACCAACGGGACTACCTCCCATCCGGGGTATAGAACACCAAATAGACTTCATTCCAGGGGCATCATTGCCAAACCGTCCTGCCTACCGTACCAACCCCGTGGAGACCAAAGAACTACAAAAACAGGTGGATGAACTGATGGCCAAAGGACATATCTGTGAAAGCATGAGCCCTTGTGCGGTTCCAGTACTTCTAGTTCCAATGAAAGACGGTAGCTGGAGGATGTGTGTTGACTGTCGTGCAATCAACAATATCACGGTGAAGTATCGCCATCCCATTCCTAGGCTAGATGACATGTTAGATGAATTGTATGGTTCTAACATTTTCTCCAAAATTGATTTAAAAAGTGGTTACCACCATATCAGAATGAAAGAAGGGGATAAATGGAAAACCGCATTCAAAACCAAACATGGTTTATATGAATGGCTGGTTATGCCATTCTGATTGACTAATGCCCCTAGCACTTTTATGCGTTTAATGAATCATGTTCTTAGGGCGTATATAGGCATCTTTGTTGTCGTTTATTTTGATGACATCCTTGTTTATAGCAAAGGTCTAGAAGAGCATATAGAACACATTAGACTAGTGCTTGATTTGCTCAGAAAAGAAAAACTATATGCTAACCTTAAGAAGTGTACTTTCTGCACTTCTAGTCTTGTTTTTCTTGGTTTTGTAGTGAGTTTAGAAGGAGTCAAAGTGGACGAGGAAAAAGTGAAGGCCATCCGTGACTGGCCAAGTCCTAAGACCGTAGGAGAAGTAAGGAGTTTCCATGGCCTAGCCGGCTTTTATAGGAGATTCGTGAGGGACTTTAGTACTATAGCTGCCCCACTCACCGAAGTCATCAAAAAGGAAGTTGGGTTCAAGTGGGAAACAGCTCAAGAAGAGGCTTTCCAAAGCCTAAAAGACAAGCTTACTAACGCCCCTGTTCTTATATTGCCTAATTTCTTAAAGACTTTTGAGATTGAGTGTGATGCATCAGGAATAGGTATTGGCGCTGTTCTAATGCAAGACAAGCAACCCATATCATTTTTTAGTGAGAAGCTTGGAGGAGCCATGCTCAACTATCCGATATATGATAAGGAGTTGTACGCCTTGGTGAGAGCCTTACAAACGTGGCAACACTACCTCTGGCCTAAAGAATTTGTTATTCACACGGACCATGAGTCCCTCAAACACCTCAAAGGTCAGCAAAAGCTCAACAAAAGGCACGCAAGGTGGGTTGAATTCATAGAAACCTTCCCATATGTCATAAAATACAAACAAGGTAAAGACAATGTGGTTGCCGATGCATTATCAAGAAGGTACACTCTTCTCACTACTTTAGAAGCTAAGTTGCTAGGATTTGATCAGCTTAAAGAGCTATATAAAGATGATGATGATTTTTCAGAAACTTTTGCTTCTTGTTTCAAATCTCCTTCGGGTAAATTCTTTAAACAAGATGGGTTTCTCTTTTATGAGAACCGTCTTTGTATACTAATTATTCTATGAGAGATTTGTTTATCAGGGAAGCACACGGTGGCGGTTTAATGGGTCACTTTGGCGTAGCAAAAACCTTAGAAGTAATGAAAGATCATTTCTATTGGCCACACATGAGACGGGATGTTGAGAGAATCTGTGGGAGATGCAATACTTGTAAACAAGCCAAGTCCAAGGTTCAAAATCACGGTTTGTACTCACCCTTACTGATACCCTCTCATCCGTGGAATGACATTTCCATGGACTTTGTTTTAGGCTTGCCTAGAACAAAGACAGGTAAGGACTCTATTTTTGTTGTAGTGGATAGATTCTCTAAGATGTCATTTTATTGCTTGTCATAAAACAGATGATGCTTTGCATATAGCCAATCTTTTTTTTAAGGAAATAGTTCGCATTCATGGTATGCCTAAGTCCATTGTTTCAGATAGAGACACTAAGTTCCTTAGCTTCTTTTGGAAAACCTTATGGTCTAAGCTAGGAACTAAGCTTATGTTTTCTACTACTTGTCATCCGCAAACTGATGGTCAGACCGAGGTAGTAAATAGGACTTTAGGTACATTGTTGAGAGCTTTGATTAAAATGAACCTTAAGTCTTGGGAAGATTGTTTGCTGCATATAGAGTTTGCATATAACCATGCTGTGCATTCTGCTTCTAAGTATTCACCTTTTCAGATTGTTTATGGGTTCAACCCCACTTCTCCTTTGGATTTAATGCCTTTACCTTTGAGTGAAAGGATAAGTATGGACGGAAAGAGAAAAGCCGACTTGGTCAAACTAATACATTCGGATGCTAAGAAGAACTTAGAAGAGAAGACTAAGCTCTGCCAAACATGCAAATAAAGGAAGAGACAAGGTGGTTTTTGAAGCTGGAGATCAAGTTTGGGTACATCTAAGAAAAGAGCTCTTCCCAGCAGAAAGAAAATCCAAGTTGATGCCACGGATTGATGGCCCTTTTACAGTTACAAAGAAGATCAACGACAATGCCTATCAACTTGACCTCCAAGGTAAGTATCCTATTAGCTCAAGTTTTAACATTACTGATTTACTTCCTTATGTTGCAGATGAGTCAGATTTGAGGTCAAATCCTTTTCAAGTAGGAGGGGATGATATGAGCATGGGGACATCTAACTTAGAAGATGAGCATGTAGCCGTTGGAAAACAAGATCAAGACCAGAAGGAGGCTGAAGAAGTTCTTAAAGTGCAAGGAGGTCCAATGACCCGAGCTAAGACTAAGGCACTTCAAAATGCCTTAGAGGTTCTACTTAATCAGTTTAAGTATGAATCAAGTACTAAGGAGGCTACACGTTCCACATTGGTCAGCATTGTAGCCAGGGACTAAGCTAGTGGGTTTGTGGGACATTTTGTGCTCTTTTTCCCTTAGTGAGTTTTGTCCCATTGAGGCAAGTGTTCCCACATTGTCATTGCCCATTAAGCTTAGCCTTGTTCCAAGCCCACTTCTTTCTACCATCCGTGGCTTGGATGTGTCTAGGTTCATTTTATTGTTTTTAGTTGTTTCTTTCTTGTAGTTTATGTTATTTTGAACAGATTCTTGCATGGTTAGTCAAGGGGGTTTGTCCCAAGACTAACTTATTGCTCTCTTGTTGTCCGTTCTCCTTCGTCTCTCTTCTCTCCTTAAGACCGTGTGTTAGTTGTTTTGATGTTTCATCTATCTTTGAATAAAATTTCCTTTGCAAAACAGATCATCTCTTGGTGCGTCATATCCTTGAGAAATCCTACTTAGAACCCTAGGTGCGTCATATCCTTGTGTTTTAGTAGCTTTGTATCAAGAGTCTTCCATCTTTCTTGCTACAAACCATCTTCACTCTTTCCCCCACTTTTCCACTTCAATTAAAACAACCTCTTGCCACCGTTCGGATCATTCCACCATCTCACGTCAAGTAGTTCGTAACTTAGCTTGAAATGATCGATCATTGGCCGGGATCATATCAAGAGGGTATAATTATTACCCAGAACTAACAGTCAACCAACTGATTGACCCAGCCACATCAACGTAGAACATTCCACTAATTAACCAATTAATAGCCTCAGAGGATATACCTCTTATCACGGGGATGGCCACTACTACGGAATCTATGCCGGATATTTGAGGCTGGCATTTCACTAAAATGGGCAGGTATACTGTTAAATCGGGTTATATGACAGAACAAACTTACCCAAGGAAGGAAGCGCCGCGAATATATGGGCCGGATATATGTTAATTATAGGCATATGTTTGGAAAGTCAAATGCCTCCCAAAAATGAAACATTTCATGTGGCAAATTCTTACTGGATGTTTGGCAGTAACAGGACGACTCAGAGCTAGGGGAATCAACTGTGATCCTCAATGCAGTAGGTGTGGAGCGGACACAGAAACAATCAACCATACTTTATTCGAATGCCCTCCGGCATTTCAGGTATGGGCGCTTTCGCCAATACCTACGCCTTTAAATCAATTTCTTACATAGGCACTGTTCCCCAATATGGCCAATCTTTTCTGGCATCTCCCGAAGCATGAGGACATGAGGGTATACCCTTGGATACTGTAGTATATTTGAAAAATGCGGAATGACAAAATTTTCTCGAACATAGATCGAGATCCCCGAGAGATTGTCAGACTAGCAATGGCAGAAGCATGTAGTTGGGATGCAGCACATATAGAGGAAATAATAGGATCCCCTCTACAAAGTGGACAGGATGAGAGATAGATCAGGAATGGGACTATCTGCTACACTGATGATTCATGGAAGCACGAAGCACCAAATGCAGGCATAGGCTAGTATTGTCAAGGAGCGACTATGGAGAATACACTAATGGGGACACGGAAAATAGGAAAAAGTCTATCATCTCTACACACGAAATTGGAGGCTTTAATATGAGCTATGCATTGTATGTTTGATGTTGGGAGACAGGTTGTAACTTTTCTCACAGACAGCTCTGAACTGGTGAAGATGGTATTTAATCCAATGGAGTGGCCAGCATTCACACTACATTTGGAGGAATATGAAACCAGTAGAAAGGAATTCGTTTCTTTCTCAATCGCAAAAATCTCAAGACCGCAAAATATAAAAGCAGACAAGCTAGCATGGAGTACCCGCGACCACCTGCATCAGTTAAACTACGTTCACTCGTCTCCACCCGAATGGCTAACACCATAGGATTATGAGACAAAAAAAAAAAAATCATATAGTGTTGTAAATCTGGTGTCCGAATTTGCTAACTTCGGAGCTTCATGTTATTAATCCAGCTTCCCTTGCCAAGATCTCTCGTTACTGTTTGTCAGATCTGAGCTCAAAATATCATATTTCTTTCAATCCCCGGTTTATAATCTCAGATCGAAATTTTCTGTCGGAATAACACATCTGGGGGGCACTTCCATGGCGAACGCCTGGAAAAGGGACAAGAACCAGAAGCTTTTAGCACCCAAGACATTAATCTTTCTTCTTATTCTGTCCATCATCTTCCTCTTCTCTCTCTTCTTCTTCTCTTTCTCATCTCTTCAAAACTTCAATCCTAATCTTTCACTCAATACCCAATTCCCAATCCCTCCTTTCGACTGCTTCAAATGTCCTCAATCAAAACCCATAATCGCAAGCGTCGTCGAGAATCTCAAATACCCTTTTATCTATTCCCTCGCCGATCTCGGGAATCTCCCGGAGAAACCCCACAAGAACATCGTGAGGCTGCTTAAAGGAAAGCCCTTTCGGAAACCAGACATTTCCGCTGCGATTCAGGAGGTTTTGGAGAACATGAAGGCTAAGGGCAGAGATGGGTTCGTTGTCGATGTGGGAGCTAATGTTGGTATGGCTAGCTTTGCTGCGGCGGCTATGGGGTTTAAAGTTCTTGCTTTTGAACCTGTTTTTGAAAATTTACAGAGGATCTGTGATGGGATTTGGTTTAATAGGGTTGCTTCTCTGGTTACTGTGTTTGAAGCTGCTGCTTCTGATAGAAATGGGGACATTACCTTCCATAAGGTATGTATGATATCACATTTCTACAATCTGAGATTAGTTTAGTGAGAAAGAGCATTGTTTCTGTTTATAGATAGATTAGCATAATCCAGGATTCTACCTACTATGTCGATACAGAGGCTAGGATGATGCAGAAGTCAGTAAAGAAAGGGCAATAATGTGGAGAGCATTCATTTTGGTTTTATATGTAGGTTATGAGATTAGTATAGTGAGAAACTGTTTCTGCTTCTTATTGCTGCTATTGAGACTAGCTACTTTATTTGAAGCCAAATCACTTAACAGAACTATGAATGAATAGTCGCAATCCAGCGAGAGAGTAATATGTGGAAAGAGCTCTATGGTTTTTTACATATGATGTCAAAGAGCTACAGAAAGATGTACTTATTATCCATTGGCCTAATATGCTTTATAGGTGAAACAGTTGTATAGTTAACAAACTGCCAACCGTAGACTTGGTTTTACTGTATTACCACCATCATGTTTATTGGTTCTTGCTAAGTATGATGTCAAAGAACTACACAAATATGCACTTATTATGCATTGGCCTAGTATGCTTAATAGGTGAAACTGAATGATAGCTAATTGTATAGTTAACAAGCTGCCAATGTAACCGTATACTTGGTTTAACCGTACTACTGTCCATCTTGTTTATTGAATCTTGCTAAATGTGTATTCCCATTGTTCTTGATACAGTTGGTGGGACGGCTAGACAACAGCGCTGTCTCGGAGGTGGGTGCAAGACTTGCATTCAAGTCCAACAAAGAAATAGCGGTCCAAGTGAAATCCATACCTCTTGATGAACTCATCCTGCCTTCTCAACCTGTTCTTCTTATCAAGATCGATGTTCAAGGTTGGGAGAACCATGTTTTAAAGGGCGCAAAGAAGCTACTCTCGAGGAAACCCACAGAAGCTCCTTATCTAATCTACGAGGAAGATGAGAGATTGCTCAAGGCAAGCAATAGTAGCTCCAAGGAGATACGTGATTTCTTAAAAAGCGTTGGATATAGCAAGTGTAGCCAGCATGGCACAGATGCGCATTGTACCAAGGAGTAAAAAGACATTAAGCCTTGGCAAAAAGTGGTAAATAAGATGCCATGAGGAACATAAGGAAGATATTGGTATTTTGTAGAGAGAAACAGTTTACTCCTTAAGTTGCTAGTTTTGGTCAGTCATGTTTGAATCTCCTTGTAATATGTACTCAATTTTATGTTATACATTTAAATGATGATTAGTGCATATCAGTGATCATTTCTAACTTCTATAGCTAACAGCTCTGTTCTTTTGTTTATAGCTGCGTCTGCGGCAATGAAAGAGAAAATGGTTGAGTCAAGATGGAGATCACAATTGCAGTTGAAGATGACCGCTGGCATTGTTAAAAATGACCGCCGGTGTGGTTAGTGGAATTTTTTGGCGACACTTTTCGATGATGCGGTCATTCCGGCGGCATCTTTTTCTTTGATCAACAACTCCATTAGTGTCGTTTAGCTTTTCTACTTATTATTATTATTGTCGTTTTGCTCGGTGGCAGTCGCTGCGTCTGCGGCAAGGAAAAGAACAAGACTGTTGTATATCTGGTGTACACCTAGGTATTCAGGAACTCGGTTCTGGTTCGGGTTAGACATTTTCAGTTACCGTACTATGGTTGAGCTACCATTGAGTATTTTAGAATTTCAGTTTGGATTAAGTTCGGTACTCTCTCGGTTCAGGTTGGGTCAGATAATTGATTCGAGAACATGAGCGGAGTTTTAAAAAAAACGTGTTTTTGAAATGATAAAAAAATTTCAAGATTACAAATTTTGTAACCTAAATATATATTCGTTTTTAAAAAAAAAATTTAAATTTTTTCTGAATTTCTTAAGAGTTTTCTTTAAACTGTTAGAATTTTTTGTCAACGACAGATGTGAGATTTGAATCTATCAAAGTTTAACGGTTGACTAATCACTGTTACAGTTAATACTGATTTATGCACCAATTATTTAGTTTAGGTAGTTACTTTCAATTTATATAGAAGTAGAAATATTAAAAGGTTTAATTACATTGTTTATATATGGAAATGCACAACTGTTTATGTTGAAAATCATATTCCCGTGTTCGGCTTTCTGTATTTTACGTGTTCAGCTTCCTGTATTTTAGATATAGTTTGTAACATCCATCTCTCAACAAATAAGATAACACTCAACTTTATTATATAATAATTACCATAAGTCAATATTATTTTTATTAATAAACTACTATTTGCAAATACGAACTCAAACTCGAAATAACCCACAAATAAGTTTCAAAATCAACTGAAATCATTTAAAAAGAGAAAGCTAAGTGTTTTAAGTTCTCCAAAGATCGAACAAAAAAACCAATCACCTCCATCACACGCTAATCACTCATGTTGCTTCTGCTCAACTGCGTAAGGGGTAAAAAGAACATGGAGAGGATGAATAATTTAGATTACCCAAGAAAACCCAAATCTGTAGCTAGCCAGAACCAAATGAACAATCGCAGTTTAATGATTCCTCTAACAATCAATAATCAAGAGCATAAAATAAACAGAGAAACGAGTCACTGTACGCCACTCGCAATACAGATCTTCATGCTGGCTCTACGCCCTAGAGGCGTTATGTGACCTACTGTAACGACCCAGTTTATAAAATTTGGCCAGATTTTTATCTTATTTTATAAAGCCCATTAAGCCCATTTCCTTGTTGTCACTTCCACCAAAACGCATGTACGATTGTAAGCCTCTTTTCTTCGTTTCTCACCCTAGCCGCCCGAGAAGGAGAAAATCAGAAAAGGTGAGAAAGAAAGAGTAAATGGAGGAAAGAGATAAGAGAAATGGAGAGGGCGAGAGGAGATTGTGAGAGAGAAGAGATAGAGAGAGGAAGCATACATGAGGAGATCGCCACCTCCGAAGTGCTGCCGCATCCACTGACCACCATCGTCGATCTGCTGATTTTGGTCACCACTATCATTCACCTGTCATCCATGTGGTAAGTCGAATGGTTTTTGTGGTAACCCAACCCGGTAAACCGTACCGCGGCTGTGTCCCACTATATCCTAATAGTCCGTTTCTATACTTTGCCATATTTTTAAACTTTTTCTTTATTCTTATTCTTTCTTATCAACACACAGCGGAAAATAAACCAACTCATCTTATTCATTTAACTTTCATAAATCACTTAAACAGGATTCGGGGCTCAACATAAATCAAAACACAAGGTTCGCTAACGATTACAACTGATCATCTAGCAACCTAAACGGTCAAACACCAAAGCCATAAGACAAAGCACAACGTCTTAAACATAAATAAAACCCAGTCCCGATCCATCCATATCCATCACTGCCGCCTGGTCTCGCCCCCTTACTGCTTAGTACCTGCACACTCAAGAAGTGAGGCTTAAGTATTTCATAAATACTTAGTGAGTACGGTCATCCCGTAACACCTGGTCAGTACCAAACACACAATCATACTTTCGGATTCAACATTCCACACAGTCAATTAACAATAGAAATAACATTTTAACAAACGGCTATGATCATCTAACCTAACCAACCAAGTTCAATCCCTTTTTATGACCCATGTCTACTTCAGCGAGAATCCCACATCCCCTAAGCTAGTACATCATCCGGATTACCCTGAGGTTAGCTAGACATCATCTATGCCACGGTAAACACCTCATTATATCATAACATGAAATCGCTTATCAGTTCTAAACACATAACATGAAAATTACACAATCAAACATGCAAACATTCAACCCTAGCAATCCTACGGTTCTAGACACTAACCACAGTCACGCACTCACCTTAAACAAGGCTGAAAACAGATTGGTCAGAAGAAATCCCGATGAAACTCGCACCAAAACAAAGATATCCGATCACTCTAGGAATCTCTCGGCTGTCTGTACAATCCGTTCCCTTTCCCTTCGTCTATCTCTCGATCCGTTCACCTTTCTCCGAGCCAAACTCTGTTTACTTTCAGAAACCCCACAAAACAAGGCTATTAGCTCGAGGTTATCCGATGAAAACTCAACACTTAGGGAAATATCCGATCGCTTACCAGTTTATCTCGGCGATGGTCGGATCTGCTCGGCGATAACCTGATCTCTCTCGGATGTCCTCGGGATAAACTGTTTTTCTTAGGGTTTTCTCTCGACTAAAATCTCTCTTTGCTTTATTTAGCTCAAATAAACGCAACACCCTCGAGTTAAGTCTCAAAATCCCTTATATACTCGCAAAACCCTAGGTAACTCGGACTTGTCCGATGTTTTCCTGCTTCCAGTAGGTTTTATCCCGGTCCGATTTGATTTTCTCAGCTATTCCCTGTACCGGCTAGACCATCCACTCGATAAACCACAAAATAGCCGACCTAACACTTGGCCCACGGCCCAAATCCTTTCCCACTCGGATAAACCGCCCTTATCCGAGGTGTTTTCGATTTTCACCCGGATATTCCTTTTTCTCTCGGACAACTTGTCCTACCTCGGCTAATCCTTACTTTCTCTCGGAGATTTTCCTTTTTCCCTCGGAGACAGTTCACTGACACTCGGACTAACCTCCCAAACTCTCGGATAAATCCCACTACACCGGGATAAATCCCATTTCCCACGGACTGGACCTTCTTTCCTCGGATATGGTCCATCCGGCTCGGCTATCCAGCCCACCATCCGACTATTTCCTCGGTCAACCCCCGACCATAGTCCGAACCTCCATTTCCCAGCCAGTATCCAACCCTTGGCTCGATCATTCCTTGGACAATGCCCTGTCCGGTCCGATCATCTCAAATTCTCTCGGATACGGATGCTACAACTCTCCCCCACCCGTTCTGAATTCGTCCTCGAATCTGACTCATCCGTTTGCAACTTGTCAAACCATTTGGGATACTCAGCTTTCATCCTAGCCTCATTTTCCCAAGTAACTTGTTCATGCCTGTCGCAGTCCCATACGACCTGAACCATTCTGACCAGCTTCCCGCGGTTAGTCTCTTCTTTCCGATCTATCACCCGAACCGGCCTAGCCACTACTGCAAGGTCCTCTTGCAAGTCAGCTGGCGGCTCCTCTATAACCGTCTCACGTTCGGTAATGTGCTTCCTTAGCTGCGACACATGGAATACATTATCGAACACTCCCATTTCTGATGGCACGTCCAACTTGTAAGCCACTGCGCCAACTCTTTCCAGTATCTGGTACGGCCCCATGTACCTCGGATTCAACTTGGCACTCTTAGCTGCCCTGTCCGTTCTCTTATAAGTCAGTGCCTTAAGATAAACCATATTACCCACACTGAACTCCAGATCCCTGCGATGCTTGTCCGCATAGCTTTTCTGCCTGTCCATAGTCTCTTTCAGCTTAACCTCTAAGAATCTGATCTTTTCCGTAGTAGCCTCGACCACTGCTGGCCCGATTACCCTACGCTCCCTCACTTGTGTCCAACACAATGGTGTCCTGCACGGCCTGCCATACAACGCCTCATACGGAGACATCTCAATGCTCCTTTGGTAACTATTGTTTTATGCAAATTCAGCCAATGGTAAGTAGTCTTCCCAACTACCACCCCAGTCCAGTACACAAGCTCTCAACATGTCCTTTAGTGTCTTGATCGTCCGTTCTGATTGCCCATCATTCTGAGGATGATACGCTGTACTCATATGCAACCGCGTTCCACACGCTTCCTGGAACTCTTTCCAGAACCTCGAAGTAAACTTCGGATCACGATCTGAGATGATACTTACTGGCACTCCATGCAACTTCACGATCTGATCAATGTACATATCCACCAACTTTGGTACTCCATCCGTCTTTTTCATTGCTAAGAAGTGAGCAGACTTGGTTAGACGATCCACAATGACCCATATCCCGTCATGCAACTTCTTAGTCTTAGGTAAACCCAGTACAAAGTCCATGGTGATCATGTCCCATTTCCATTCCGGCATTGGCAACGTTTGCAACAAACCACTTGGAAACTGATGCTCTGCCTTAACCAATTGGCATGTCTCACATCCAGCTACCCACTTAGCCACATCACGTTTCATCCCAACCCAATGATAAGTACTGTTTAAAAT